AAAGAAAACAAAAATCCTCACAATTGGACCAATGAGCAGCATCACATTAAATGGAGAGAAGATTGAGGTTGTCAAAGAATTCACGTTGCTTGGTTCTACAGTCGATGCCAATGGAAGCAGCAGTCAGGACATTAGATGACGTGTAGCACTGGGAAGGTCAACCGTGAAGGAACTGTTTCAAGTGCTGAGGAGAAAAGATGTTTCCTTGAGGACTAATGTGTGCCTGACATAAGCCATGATATTTCCAGTTGCCTTGTATGCATGTGAAAGCTGGACAATGAATAAGGAAGACCGAAGAAAAGTTGATGCTTTTGAGTTGTGGTGCTGGCAAAGAATGCTGAAAGTACCATGGACTGCTAAAAGAACTAACAGATCTATCCTGGAGGAAGTGCACCCGAAAAGCTCCTTGGAAGCGAGAATGGCCAGACTTTGTCTCATCTACTTTGGTCATGTTGTCAGAAGAGACCATTCCCTGGAGAAGGATGTTATGCTTGGTAGAGTGGAGGATCAATGAAAGAGGGGAAGGCCTTCAACGAGATGGGTTAACATGGTGGCTGTGTTGATGGGCTCAAGTATAGCACAGATCATGATGCCGGCATGGGATCGGGCAGTGTTTCGTTCTCCTGTGCATGGGGTTGCGGTGAGTCGGAAATGACTCGATGGCACCTAACAACAATAACAACAGCAACCCAGTAATCTGATGGGAGTCACAAAGACATGGCTAGAAGAGTCATTTCCTTGCACCACAATGCCTTTGATCATACTGTCCTCTTTTCTTAGAATGACTCTTTCCTTTGGCTAATTCCACTTGTCCTTTATAACTGTGCAGCCAAGAAATTTATAGAACTTGCTATTGCCATGACCATTGGTTGATCAAGACTCTTTTCATAGGAAGTGTATATTTGAAATATGAAGTAATCTTAACCTGGGACATATCAAAAACCAAACTCACTGCCATCGAGTTGGATCTGACTATAGTGACCCCTCCTTGGGTTTCTGATGCAGTATCACTGTGGAAGTAGATTGCCCAGTCTTCCTTCTGAGGAGTGGCTGGTGGGTTTTGAACCGGCAGTCATCTAGTTAGAAGTCAAATACCTTGGGGACCAAGCCGCCAGAGCTTCCAACCTGGGACATAGCATATATTTTTCCATTTTTACCTTTTCTCTCATGGCTGGGAGAACAGTTTCATAAATGACTATTAACTGAAATCTCAAACTACTGAACCCTCTGGGCTTTGCGGCATATATATATATATGTTATGTTGTTGTTGTTATGTGCCGTCGAGTCATACCTGACTCATAGCGACCCCTCCTTGGGTTTCCGAGGCAGTATCACTACAGAAGTAGGATTGCCCAACCTTCCTTCCGAGGAGTGGCTGGTGGATTATATATATATATATATATATATATATATATATTTTTTTTTTTGTTGTTCTTATGTCTGTTTTATGTCTTTTACGACTCTAAATTTTATTCTGGCTGAGTTTCTCCAGGGTAGAGAACAATATAGTTTGTCAAACTTGCTTCCAGGTGGATGGTCATAGAGGCCTGGCAAAGGCAAAGAGGGCATATTGAGGTGCTCAGTAAATGTTGAATGATGTAGTTAAGTGATGGCTGTGGAAAACTCCAGAGATTGGCCCCAAGGGCTAATGCTGATCTTGGCAGAAACTTGAAATTAAGGCTGTGGTGTGAATACAAGGATACCATGTGATTAGAGCAGTAGCATGAAGCTGAGATGACTTGTCTACTTTGAAGATTTGATGGGCTGTAATTGAGAAAGTATCTGTGAATCTGTGCTGTAATCCTGACTTGCCCAAACACCATTGTTAGTGCCACAGATTGTATGCCAAAATACTACCACACATGTTCCTATAATACCGGTTGGCTTATGTGTGTTTGGAAAATAGAGAAAGATGGTATAACATAGATGTTGTTGATCCATATGTAGTCTTTCCTAGTTTAGGAGGCCTGGAATGGTGGGGTAGAATTACAGTCTTTAGCTGGAAAGGAAAAAGCCCCCAGCTCTGCTGTAAAGGGAGCAGGAGGCTCTTCAGCAATATTTTAAGAAAATTAGAAATGAACATTTTTACCCAAGACTCTCTCCCTAAAAGATGCACCCTTGCTCTCATCTTGCTTTCACCAGTGGTGACTGCTTCCTCTGCTCACTTTCCCTCCACTGGCTAGCTTTTCCCCCTCTGTTGTGTGTTGCTAACATGTCTTGAGACAGCCTCAGACTACCTTAAGATGCTTGCTTGGGCATTCAAATTATCTCCAAAGTACTTTTGATTGCTTTTATTACCTCTCTGGTTACAAATTGGAATAGATTATGAGTGATCTGCCCCTAGGAGCTCTGGTAGTGTAGTGCCTAAGGGATTTGACTGCTAACCAGAAGGTTGGCGATTCAAACCCACCTGCCACTTCTCAGAAGGAAGGTTGGGCAATCTATTTCCATAGTGATACTGCCTCGGAAATCCAAGGAGGGGTCTCTATGAGTCGGATACGACTCTGTGGCAGTGGGTTTGGTTTTTTGGTTTTGGATCTGCCCCGATCCTTTTTTTTTTTCCCCTGTAAACCCTGTTATTTTTGGTGTAGGGTTTTTTCAGGAATGCATATGTGATATGTGAACACAAATGCTGTGTTTCCTATTTTTTTCCCTAAGCATATTATAATTTGTATTTTCTATTTTTGTTACTGTCAACTCCTGCCTTTAATATGCTGTTTATTTTTAAGAACTCGTTATCTTGAACTTACTTTGTTTGTCTCAGACTCTCCAAAGCCTTTCCTTTAATCATTCTGTCCCATCTTCTCACCCACTTTCATGTGATTATCTGACCACCTCCTCCTTTAATCTTCTTCATGCATTTGTTATATTTAAAAAGTTAGGAATGTTTTTAGTTTATCATTTTGAAATATTTGAAAGTCTTCCATTAGAAGCACAGATTAAGCTTAAAAGCTCTTGTATTTTAATACTAAAGATATTTCACTATATATCTTAATCAAAATTAGCAGCATTAAAAAGATACTTTATTGTAGCATATGCATAAGATATACTGATTAATATATAAACAAGTATATGTTGTGTTTTAACATAATTTATAAGCATATTTATTTTTGTATGAAATGTGTAAGTTGATGAATATGACTTTAAATGATGCTAATTTTGTTTTCCTCCAGGAGGATCAGGATGGGAATCAAGGTCTGGGCAAACGAAAGAGGGTAAAGCTAAGCAGTGGCACCAAAGGTATTTATATTCTGTTTTTCCTTGCATGAAAATCTTCTAAAAATACTTAATTAGGAAGAATATTTGATTGGTTAGCCATATTGACATTAAAGCTGTTTGAAGGAAGAGTTAAGTTATTAAATTTGTCTAATAATGAAAAAAGTGTTGTTAGGAGATGATAGTGGGGGACTTCAAAAGCAAATAAAGCCCTTGCTATTGAGATTTTGTTCATTATTTTCTTCATAAAGTGTGCACTAGCATATTTGAAACAGAAAAAAAGTATGTCGTTTTATTGATCTTTTGATTTGGACCTAGTGTTTGGTTGTAAAGTTTTAATTTGTATTAAACCTTTTTATAATCTGGAGTATCCAGTTTCTGGAGTGGAAAAGGACCAGCAAGGGAGAGGTAAGAAAGAGAAAGAATGAGAATGAATGAGAATTAATAGTATTTAATACATAGAAAGGGTTCTTCTTTATTCGAAACAGGAAATGGATATGCCTTTTAGTGAGGCAATCAGTTAGTGAAATAATGAACAATGCTTATTGAACCTTTTGTGTGAGCTAGATACAATGCTAAGCACTTCACATGCATTTTTTCATTTAATTCTCAAAGTTACTGTATGAAGCAGATTTTATTAATACCATTAATAAAATCATTCTATGAAGAAAAAGATGGAGGCATGTTAGAGGACATAGCTAAAAAGAAGTAGGTCCTTAATTCACATCCCAGAGCTGAAGCTCTTAACTACTGATTTCTTGACCCTCACTAAAAGCTTTTCTAGAGTACTTGTTATTAATTAGGATCCCGAGCTTTGGATTTGTGTCATGGATTTCCAGTCTTACTGTGGCCTACTTTCTGGGTCATTGCGGCCTGTCAGAGTGTCTAGATATTGACAGAAGATTCTTATTTCTAGTGCTGATTAAGTATATCTTGTACAATACCTGGACTGCCTGGAAAGGTGGAGCATGGAAGCAGTTTCAGCTGTAGATTCATTTTATAATTCTGTCTTGGTTACATTTACCTTGCTGGTTGTTAGAACAGAGGGTATGAGTTTCATCTGTGTTCTAGGATGCACATATGCACACATGCTTTCCTTTTCTTGGCTTAGCAGAGAACTTGGGGGGTACCTGAAGGATATTAGAATCCATATGACTATGTAGTCCTTTGATGTACCAGAGTTGTCTGTTGAGTCATTGAGAGAGATCTGAATTGGAGCAGATTGTTAGGCATATACTTGAATTTCTGGGCATTTAGGAATGCCCAGAAAATACTTGTTATAGTATAAGAGATCATTGTTTTCCTTCAGCCTGGTCAAACTGTGCTAAAGATAGTTTTTGCACTCAAAGTTTATGTTCTTTTGTATCTGAATTTTCTTACCTGATGTATTAGATTAAGTATCTTACTTACTCTAGTGATAAGTAGAACAGAGATTTAAGACTTTGATCGGTTATCACTTATGATTTAAGTACGTTCATGGGAGAAATGGCTTTGTGAATTACTAGAATTCTTGTGTTTTCAAAAAGTGACTTGCTTTGGAAGATACCTGAAGTTCAGGGAGCAGTTGAATTTTTTTTTTAAGACTTTTGTTCAATAGTTTGAAATTGAGCTAAAAATAAAATGTGTAACAATAGCCAAGAGGCCAGGCACTGTGCTAAATAAGTACATTTTTGCCTAGTCTCAAAACCTAAGTTTTAAAGGTAAAGCAACTGAGGCCTAGAGGGGTTTAAGTAACGTGGCTGCAGTTCTACAGCTTGAGAGATCCTGGACTCTTCTAATAACTTAAGCATGTATTGATTCTTCAAAAATTTCTTTTGAAAATTGGTTAAGGTAGTTTTGGCATCGTTTAAAGTCATAGCAATTTAATCAAGATTTTAAAGGTAAATACTGCTGTCGAATTGATTCCAATTCATAGCGACCCCGTATGAACTGCCCCTTACTTTCCAAGGCTATTATTATCTTTATGGGAGCTAACTGACAGACACATCTTTTTCCTGTGGAGTGACTAGTGGGTTCAAACTGCCAACCTTTTGGTTAGCAGCTGAGTGGTTAACTATTCTGCTGCCAAGGGTCTTTTTAAAGGTAGTCACACATAATAAATAGAAGGATTTCTAACTATATTTCCATAACTAGTCATGTGCTATCAGTATCTTGGGAGACTGATGTCACAATTTTTAAGAGCAATAATGAAGCCATTGCTGTTTTTTTGGGCTGAAGATGAAAATATTGAATTCTATGTAACTGCAACTAATTTCATTTTAGTAGAAACCGCATTTTTTTTTGTGTGTGTACTATAATTGCTTTATTTATTTAAAACAGAGTTAATTTATCTTTCTTTTTAAATGCTTGGCATATAATAGTAATTGTAGTAGCTTCAGGCTTTTCACTGTTAAATTGATGGTCAGTTTGTCATACTGTAGTGGCTTGCATGTTGCTGTGATGCTGGAAGCTGTGCAGTGGTGTTTCAGATACAGGTTTCAGCGGAGGTTGCAGACTAAGGCTGGGAAGACTAAGACTAAGGCTAAGACTAAGGCTGGGCCGGGTGATTTGCTTCTGAAAAGAAATTAGCTAGTGAAAACCTATGAGTGACAGCAGAGCTATCCAGTAAAGGGCTGGAAGATCAGCACCTCCAGTTGGAAGTCACTCAAAATACAACTGGGGAAGAGCTGCCTTCTCAAAGTAGAGTTGAATAAAAGACGTCTTTAAAGCCTTAAAAAGCAAAGATGTCATTTTGAAGGCTAAGGTGTGCCTGACTCAAACCATGGTATTTTATAACTTTACTGCCTAACTATATCATAACTGCCAAATCACTGAGAATTATAGCCCAGCCAAGTTGATGCACAACCTTAACCAACACAACCTCCATATCTTTGTGAACATCTGGGATTATTTTCTTAGAATAAATTCCTAGAAATGGAATGCAGGTCACAGAGTTTTGCACGTTTTTAGTATTAATTTTTTTTAAATTGTGAATTGGGTGAAAGTTTACAGAACAAATTTATTTTCCATATAACAGTTCGTATTCGTATACATTTTGTTTCACAGCATTGATTGCAATCATCATAATGTAACAGCTCTCCTCCCACTTCCTCCCTGTGGTTACCTTTTCCCTGTGTCCTTATTTCCTATGCATCCCTGCCCTCTGAGCTATCTCCCTGTGCAAATACTGCCCTTCTGATATCCCATGGTTGATTTTTCTAAGGAGTGTACCTACCTGGTATAAATGTTCACCTTGAGTTTTGTACATTTTTAAGTCTGTTGATACACAGTTCCAAAAGTACTTCTTGGAAATCTTTGATCAGTTTATCTCACATAGGTAATATGTGTATACTCTTTGGTAAGTGATTTACCATCCTTTCCCCTCCCACCTGATAAGCATAAAAAAATATTTCTTTGTATGAAGCCTTTTTCTTGACATTTTATAATAGTGGTCTCATATAATATTTTGCCTTTTGTGACTGATGAATTTTACTTAGCATAATGTCCTCTAGGTTCATCCATGTTATGAGATGTTTCACATTTCCATCATTGTTCTTTAATGTTGTACAGTATTCCATTATGTATATGTACCATAGTTTAGTTATCTAGTCATCCATTGATGGGTACTTAGGTTATTTCCATGTCTTTGCCTATTAAGAATTGTGCTGCAGTGAACATGGTTGTGCATCATCTATTTGTTTGTGTCACGGCTCTTATTCTCTAGGATATATACCTAGTGAGATTTCTGGGTCATATGGTATTTCTATTTTCAGCTTTTTAAAGAAATGCCATACTGTTTTCCACAGTGATTGTACCATTTTATGGTCCCACCAGCAGTGTATGAGGGTTTCAGTCTTCCACACCCTCACGAGCATTTGTTTTCTGTTTTTTTTGAACTTTGCTACAAGTGCTGGAGTGAGATGATATCTCATTGTTGTTTTGATTTGCATTGTATCTATAGATTACTTTGCATAATATTGACATTTTCATGGTGTTAAGTTTTCCTATACATGAGTATAATACATTCTTCAATTTATGTAAGTCTTTTTTGATTTCTTGTAATAATGTTTTATAGTTTTTTTGTATAGGTCTTTTGTGTCTCTGATTGGATTTATTCTGAAGTACTTCATCTTTTGGGTGGTTATTGTAAATGGAATTGCTTTTCTGATTTCCTTTTCAGAGTTTTCTTCTTCTTTCGTGTAAAGGAATCCTACTGATTTTTTAATGTTGATCTTGTACCCTACTGCTTTGCTGAAACTTCCAATTAGCTCCAGTAATTTTCTTGCTAAGTCTTTGGAATTTTCTGTGTATAAGGTCATTATCATCTGCAAATAAAGATTATTTTACTTCTTTGTCAATTTGGATGCCTTTTATTTCCCTTTCTTGGCTTATTGCTCTGGCTAGCAAGGTATGGTATTTTCAGTTGTCTCATATTTTCAAAGGAAGGCTGAAGAAGAATTGATGCATTTGAATTGTCATGTTGGTGAAGAATATTGACTATACCATGGACTGCCAAAAGAACAAACACAATGGTCTGGAGGAAGTACAGCCAGAAATCTCCTTAGAAGCAAGGATAGCAAGACTTTGTCTTGATTACTTTGGACATCTTAATAGAAGGGACCAGTCCCCAGGGAAGGACATCATACTTGGTAAACTAGAGAAAAAAAAAAAAAAAAGGAAGAGCCTCAGTGAAATGGATAGACACAGTGGCTACAATAGTGGTGCAAACATACCTGTTATTGTGAGGATCGTGTGTGATTAGGTAGTGTTTTGTTCTGTTATACATAGGGTCGCTATGAGTTGGAGCCAGCTCGACGGCATTAATAACAATAGCAACAAGAGGATATTCATTTTACTAGTGCACTCTTGATCATATGCTTTCTCGTGATCAAAATTTGAATTATGGTGCTTGCAAAATAAATTGAATATGCCAAGGGCTGCCAGAAGAATGAACAAATATATCTTGGAAGAAGTACAGTAGAATGCTCCTAAAAAGCAAAGATAGTGAGCCTTTAGTCTCGTGTACTTTAGACATTTTATTAGGAAGTACTAGTGCCTAGAGAAGGATATCATGCTTGGTAAACTAGTGTTCTGGTTACCTAGTGCCGCTCTGACAGGAATATACCACAAACGGGATGGCCTTAACAAGCAGGAATTTATTTTTACAATTTGGAGACTTTAAGTCCAAGTTCAAAGTGCCAGGCTCTAGGGGCTGGGTAAAAGCCCCTCAGCCTTGGGGTCCAGCTCTGCCTCCTGCTCCCAGCCCACTGGAGCTAGAGGCATTTCTTCACTCTGGACAGCTGCTGGCTGCTGAGGGTGAGAAGCCTCAAGGTTGACAAGTAAAAAGGCTCAGTCCCTATGTTAACAAACCACATGGCAGGCCATTAACTTGAGTCCATTGTAATTCCCAAGGTCGGCAGAGCATAGCAGGCTGCTGAGCAATGACACGACTACATGCAGGGTCCAAGTGTGCCATAAACTAGAGACCATTCCCAAGGCTTCTCCTTATATACAGGAAGCAGACCATATCCCAAAGGCAGCTACTCAGCTGCTTGTGGTAGATCCCACCATGGAGTTGATTGCCACTCTCATCATGGGGAATAACTACCACCAGCTGCCCAGCCACTCAACCAGGCCCAGCCAGGTTGACACACAAACATAACCACCACAAGTTGTGTTGTTGTTGTTATGTGCTGTCAAGTCAGACCCAACTCATAGCGCACCTCCTTGGGTTTCCGAGGCAGTATCACACAGAAGTAGACTGCCCCATCTTCCTTCTGAGGAGTGGCTGGTGGTTTTCAACCGCTAGCCTTCTGGTTAGCAGTCAAGTGCTTTAGCCAGTATGCTACCAGAGCTCCCAACCACCACAAGTAGTGAGTCAGTAAAAAGAGG